GGGGTAAATGCATTACACCTTTTGAAACTGGGGAAGAAGTATTAATCGTGCCAAACAACACAACTTATGGTCTTTGTGCATCTGTGTGGACTTCAAACCTTGGAGTGGCACACAGTTATAGCTCATAAGCTGAAGGTAATAAATAACTAACAACTTCTAGTTTGCAATAAAAACTCATTCAGGTATTTACTAATGCAGCTTTACATATTTCTTTATGAAAACAATTTTTTTTTTTGGTAATAAGCTTAAGTGAAAATTCCATAAAGGAATAAGATTTTAATTGATAAAACATTTGCCTTACATAGTTTTATCAATCTACACAAGTGAGAAATCAGGCACAAAGTTCTTCAACATTTTACAGTAATATATCTGCCTAACAGTAGTCACCATTATTTGTGGTATGTATAATGTACAGGTTAAGCTCAAGGAACTTTATTGCAAAAGGTGAAAAGTACACATGACACCAAATTAAATGGTTTAAGACAGTATTGTATATAGATTTTGAAATCTTTCAGGTTGGAACTGTGTGGACAAATTGCTGGCTTGTGCGAAGTATTGATATGCCTTTTGGAGGGGTCAAGAGCAGTGGGATGGGACGTGAAGGAACTGAGGACTCGCTTGAATTTTACACAGAATCTAAGACAATTTGCACTAAATTTACTTGAAGCTTATGCACATTGAAGTTGAAATATGTTTATTTGGAAAACAAAAGTGGTATTAAAATTGCAAATACAGTAGAATAATGTACAGTAGACCGTCATTTAACATGGTAGTTACGTTCCTGAAAATGGCACATTAGATAAAACTGTGTTAGATGAAACTTTAGAACTTTGGGGAAAAATAGGTTACGTTCCTAAGAGCCCCAAGTAAGCCAAACAACTTTTTTTAGGCCCCCCCATCTTACAAAGATAAAAGTGAATATGGAATTGTAGTTCACTGTTGTGATGTATTAAAGTTATTTTTTACTGGTTAAGACTACAAATGTAACAGAAATAATAATATTTCTTACCGTAAATTGTGGGTGCTGGTGTTTGTGGATGATTGTGAAGAGAGTGGAGAGTTATGCTGTGGCCCTACTGGACTGAGGTGGATGGTAGAGGTTCTGGTACTGAAGGTTGCATTGGAGTGTCTAACTAAGTCATTCAGTCATTCAGTCAAGCCAGTAAGTCATTCAGTCAAGCCAGTAAGTCATTCAGTCAAGCAAGTCATTCAGTCAAGCAAGTCATTCAGTCAAGCAAGTCATTCAGTCAAGCAAGTCATTCAGTCAAGCAAGTCATTCAGTCAAGCAAGTCATTCAGTCAAGCAAGTCATTCAGTCAAGCAAGTCATTCAGTCAAGCAAGTCATTCAGTCAAGCAAGTCATTCAGTCAAGTAAGCCATTCAGTCAAGCAAGTCATTCAGTCAAGCCAGTCATACAAATTCAAGTTTACCTCTTTTTATGTGTAGAAAGTAACAATTCATTACAGTTATCTCTTGTCTAATATCTTTGTTTCCTTCTTTAATTCTAAGACTTAAATGCTTATACCTTTTCTTGCCACTTTCAGCAACACTGGTATGCCTACTGGGTGTCATGATTGCTTGGCAGATACAAGATATAGTAATTAAAAGATCAAAACAATTCACAAATGCAGCTAGCTTGTAGCGGAGAAAGACTGGAAACGTATGAAATATGATTGCTGAGATGGTGGGGTGGTGTCGAGGGGTGGCAGCGGATGGCGGGAGGTCTCCCCGGTTGATCCACAACAAGGCAGCCGCTTGAGGAAAAGGGAATTTTTTTTCCTTCCCACAAACTGAACCATGTTCAATTAATTTTACGACGTGTTACATAAAATTGCTCTGCAATTCTTCAATCGTGCTATACCCAAATCATGCCAAATACTCGTGCTAAATGACGGTCAGCTATAGTTAAAGTGCATGGGTTCATCAAATATATGAATGATGGTAACTGTGCTGTCATACATTAATCTTGATACTGAGCATCTTTGACAGTGTTGTGTATCCTGTTGGGGACAGAAAGGTTTTGCCTTAACAGTACATATAATCAGTTTATTACTATTGTAACTCTAATGACACTTAGACATTGCATGATGTATATCCTGTATTGTATTTCAGGAGTGCTGAAAATATTCTTCATTGGTAATGTACTAAGGAAATGCAGTCTTAAAGAGCTTCATGCAGTCAGTAGGCTTTAAACCTAACAAAAACAACTGGATCCATTATTCTTGTGGATAGTTCATTACTATTGTAACTGCTTAGGTATATATCAGAATGTTGGGCCCATGACTTGAAATTTTTGACTGCCACCTATAAGAGGGGCATTATTGGGTGATGACTGCCCACACAATGGGTATAAGGTAACTACTGGTCCTCCCACAGGATGTGTATGGGGGTTATAATGATCTAGGGTGGATATTGGTTTTGTTATTAAACTGTCCAAACGTAGATCTACGTTTTTTCAACATTTGAAAGTATGTAAAAAAAGTAGAGATTTTTTTTTTTACATTTGAAAACGTGTAAAAACTTTGATCTACTTTTTTTTTTTTGTTATACTTGAAAATATGTAAAAAAAACGTAGATCTACTTTTGGAGCACTACGCATGTGAACGTAGATCTTTTTGGACAGTTTTAGCGGTTTAAACTAATTTATTGTACACTGTATTCTGACAAGTATATTACAGAAATACTGTGCATCCTATGGACTTTCTGATTATTGTATAGTATTTTGTAAATGCAGTTATTGGCAATAAAGAATCTAAATCTAAATTTCGTAAATAAATGAAATAAACAATTATGCTTTGATAATACTTAGATATATTTTGTATTATTTTAACTTAAAGCAAATAACTTATTCTCAAAGTCAACTACAATGATACATCCCTATGTCCTATGTAAACAATAACATCATCAATGCATTTCTCAAGTCACTAAATTTTAACATAACCTTTATTGTTCTTATACAAGCTTGACCTAAACTTGACACTAAAAACAACCTACCTGGTTTACTCAGCCATATATAACTGCAGATCTAACCAAAATGGAGGTGGTACCACAATGAAGAGGTATATAGTGTGTAGTACCACAATCTACCACTAATGAGATGCAATGTATTAACACAACTTGTGTCAAAGATGATCTATATGAATATATATTTGCTCAGTTCACTACTGAATCTTAAAGATGCCACTTATAATAGGCACTGTCCACAGACAACCTCACACCAGCACTAGACAAATATGACTTGACAGTTGCTGGAGACTAACATTGATCTCATGCAGTCAGAAGACTCCCAAATAACTGGTTTCCTAAACAATACAAATGTATGTTTTAATTGCTTCTTCACATGACTGCATCTAGACAAATATAACAGCTCCTCTTAAAATTGCCGTTATCACAGTCAATATAACAAATTTTTAGTCCACTTCCCTAGTCATCAATGTAACTAAGCAACTACAGTGGACCCCCGCATAACGATATTAATCCATTCCCGAGAGCTCATTGTTATGCGAAATTATCGTTATGCGAATGAATTTTCCCCATAAGAAATAATGGAAATCAAATTAATCCGTGCAAGACGCCCAAAAGTATGAAAAAAAATTTTTACCACATGAAATATACATTTTCCTAAACACAAAGAGAAGGATACATGCACAATAGTAGAGCAGTACATGCACAATATACAGTGGACCCCCGCATAACGATTACCTTCCGAATGCGACCAATTATGTAAGTGTATTTATTAAGTGCGTTTGTACGTGTATGTATGGGGGTCTGAAATGGACTAATCTACTTCACAATATTTCTTATGGGAACAAATTCGGTCAGTACTGGCACCTGAACATACTTCTGGAGTGAAAAAATATCGTTAACCCGGGGGTCCACTGTATATTGTGCATGACTACTCTACTAAATGAAGAATAAATGACACTTAACTTTTTTGAAGATGCAGAAATGACTGATGAGACACTGTGTCCTGGGAGTCCCTTTTTCCCCTCCTGATACTGTAGGTCCTGTTTGGCATTTTCTTCCAGAACAGGCCTTATCACACTGTGTATGCCACTATGATTCTTAAATCTCTCAAACCAACCTCTGTTGGCTTTAAAATTTACCAATACGAGCACTAGTTCAGGCATTTTTCCCTGTTCACCTGAGTGTTTGTCGACTGGGGTGAGTTGCATCCTGGGAGACAAGATTAAGGACCCCCAAAGGAAATAAGTTAGTCTTCGATGACACTGACTTTTTGGGTTAATCCTGGGTGGCTCCCCTCTGGGGTTTAATTTTTTTCTTGGTATTCTCAATAAGCCACACCAGCAACGGTGCTACAGCAGCAACAGCAGCTGACAGTGCTACAGCAGCAGCTGACAGTGCTACGCAAGCAGCTGACAGTGCTACAGCAGCAGCTGACGGTGCTACAGCAGCAGCTGACGGTGCTACAGCACAGCTGACGGTGCTACACAGCAGCAGCTGACGGGGGGCTACAGCAGCAGCAGACGGTGGTACAGCAGCAGCAGCAGCTTGACAGTGCTACAGCAGCAGCAGACGGTGCTACAGCAGCAGCAGCTGACAGTGCTACAGCAGCAGCTGACAGTGCAGCAGCAGCAGCTGACAGTGCAGCAGCAGCAGCTGACAGTGCTACAGCAGCAGCAGCTGACAGTGCTACAGCAGCAGCAGCTGACAGTGCTACAGCAGCAGCGACGGTGCTACCAGCAGCAGCAGACGGTGCTACAGCAGGCAGCAGACGGTGCTACAGCAGCGCAGACGGTGCTACAGCAGCAGCAGACGGTGCTACAGCAGCAGCAGACGGTGCTACAGCAGCAGCAGACGGTGCACACAGCAGCAGACGGTGGGCTACAGCAGCAGCAGAACGGTGCTACAGCGCAGCAGACGGTGCTACAGCAGCAGCAGACGGTACTACAGCAGCAGCTGACGGTGGTACAGCAGCAGCAGCAGACGGTACTACAGCAGCAGCAGCAGACGGTACTACAGCAGCAGCTGACGGTGCTGGCAGCAGCAGCAGCAGCTGACGGTGCACACAGCAGCACCCAAATCAGCAGTTGACCATGGTACCACAGTATTTCGATAATATTTCTCACCCTTTTTACCACAGGGTTGGCACTAGAAGTTTTTCTTGGGGCCCATGGTCACTTATTTTGCAGATAAAATCACCAAAAACGCGTAATAATACGAAATGTTCCGATTGTATGCTTGGATGTTACCGTGGAGGCTGGCTTGAAAACAATGCCACCGGGGGAAAAATGTGAGGCTGGCTCAGGCCGCACATTAGACGCGTTTTTGGACGAATAGCGTTAAACGGGTTTTTTTTAGCGGTATACGAGGCAAAATCTTAGCGATAAAATGTATAGGTATGCGGATTTAACGTTATGTGATGCCAACGGTATGCGGGGGTCCACAGTACTTGAAACCAGGAAAATCTTCAGGCTCCATGATGCTGCATAAGTGAATAACTTTCATAACAGTCAGTAACATAGACTGTCAGATAGAACTGGATAATAGTAGTCAAGATGTTAACTAATGTGCCAGAGTATTCCTTCCAACAATACAAAGCCTCTAATAAACATTGCCCATTAAAATGCCAAACAGGTCACATCATCAAAGAGATTAAATAACTCATGGCTAACCAGTTTCATCCTCAGATATATTGACCAAAAAATAACTATGAAAACAATTAGGATTAGGTGTAATATGCAAACACCTAGTCAAAAATTATACAGTTATGTTCACCTAACTTATAAAGAAATCTAAACAACTGTATTATACCAACAGATGCAATTGAAAAAAAGAGACCTGAAGGGCATTTTCTCTAATAATGGATTCCAATAAGTTTGCTACATCTAAAGAAAATTATATTACTAAAGTAAATAAACCTTCCTTCCAAATTTCTGAAATGGTAAATAAACTGAATGACTTCTCGTTTATAGGATTAAAATTCCAGCAAATCGACTCCCAACCCGTTTTTGCAAATTTCAGTGGCCCCCCCGGATACGGCCTTTGGGGGATTTCACCCAAAATTGGTTTTTTCGTCTTTTTTGGCCAATTCTATCCGGATTTCGGCCGGAAATTTTGGAAATGGGCCGTTTTGGATTGTCTCCCCGCCACTCTGCCGTGTGTGGAGTCAGTCTGGCTGGTTCGGGGGATGAGCAACACTCCGCACTTTCACCCAAAAACATTCTTTTAAACCATTGTTTTTTTTGTGGTGTTTTTTGAGTGCGACTGTGAAAAAAGCCACCAGGCCCCAAAGAAATTTTCCTATGCTAGCCCCTTTGGTAAAGAAAGTGAAAAATATGAACAGTGAAAAAACCCTTGTTCCATTCGGGCAAATCTTAGAGACGCCAGAAACAGCCCCCTCTGGAGAGTTTTTTGTGCGAAAGGGGTGCAGGACTCTCTAGCGGGTCCTACCAGTAAAAGACAAAGAAGGGAAGTAATCATAGATAGGGACTTGTACTTAAAGCGTGGGGGTGTTCCCAAGCACCATGGTTGTTGTATGTCTTAAATCTCGGGTTCAGGGGGTTAAAGGGAGTTTCTACTTCTTCGGTGGAAAATGGAGGCTGCAGCTTCGCCTAATGTTTTTGGGAAAGTGTAAAAGGGGATTTAGCGGGAAAGGAGGAAAGGGGTCCCAGCAGTGGAGTGGCGCCTTTTTAAAAGGGGTAAGGGGTTTCACAGTTCAGGAAGAAAGGGAAAGGAGGGTTAACAGAGAAGATGTAAGGTAGAAAAAACCAATTCTCTGTTCTCCAACAGTTCACCTCGGTGGTTTAAATGAGGTTGAAGGTACCACCGATTCCCCGCTTCGTCCTTTGGGGGTTTTTTGACAAAACCCTCACCAACGGGGAGGATCTAGTGCAACAGCCGCGAGCTGAACCTAGGTTGGGGGCGACCCACTGCCAGAAACATCTGCCAGGTGGGGTCGGGTTTGCAAAATTTGCGGAATTTTCACGAGTTCAAAATTCCCCAGGCATCGAGTGATGGGGGGGATTATAAATTGCACGTCTTCTGCGATCCTCCTCCCGGGGCCATTGGGGGAGTAGCATTCGGTGGCCGGGGGAAAAATCAATCTGGTCACCATCGTGCGCGGGTGACACCCCCGAAGGATTCTCGATCCCAAAGCTAGAGCTCACGGCGATGTTTCTGGGCAAAACTGGGGGAAGTACTAGAGGGGTGTTGAGTAAACTGAGGGGGAGACCACCTATGTAGGACAGATCGGGGGTGGGCCCTTTCGTGGGTCCAGAACGAAGGTCTAACTCTCCCTTTCAGGAATCGGGTAAAGGAGTACGGGGAAATACAGTCAACTCAACAATTCTGTATGTGCCTACAGATCAAAACCAGCCCCACCTGATAAGCCGAGGGGTTGACACCAAAAAGCTGGTAAAAGGAGATTTGGGTTTAAAGGCCCCCGATGGTTTTTCCGGCAAGGGATTTCTGGCCGGGGCAGAAATTCTGGGGAAACCAGCAGCATAGTCCCTTTGCGGGGGAACCCGACAGAAATTTTTTGACCCCAGGGACTACTCCCGGGGGGAAACTTATAGGATCACGGAAATGTATTCTTTGTGGGAAGCTGCATGACAAAGGGAAAACCCAAGGGCGACAGTTGTCTCCATGGTCCCAGAGAATTTGGATAAGGGAGTAAAAAGGGAGAGGGTTTTCCCGGAGGCGGAATATTGCACCAGGCAGCAGTTATGGCGTCAGCGCATCCAACACGACGACTCAGGGAAAAGTAAATTTGGGTTCGCTCAGGGGTTTGTTCCTAGATC